TTAATGACATATTTATACAGTAACATGCTTATATGACATTTTTATAAAGCATTAATGCATCAAATTTTTAATATATTAGATTAACTAAAAATCTGAAAAGTTTATAATAATTTATAGTGTTAACTTGCTAACATATTAAATATCTTTCTAAAAACTAGTTGTTTGTAAAGAATGAATTTTTATGCATAATTAATGGGAATTAGCTTTTAATTAAATTCCAACTATATAAGAAGAATAGAACTATATACTGCTTAATCATTTGATTTATCTTTCAACTTCGACTTTCTTCTATTCTTTTAACTTTTTTATTTTTCTTGAACGTTCTTGCGCAATATGCTCCAGATTATTATAAAACTCCGAATTTGTGGTAAAAAGACGCCTGAAATCACGACGATACAAGCGAAGCAGTTCGCACACTTCTAAGGCAATAACTGATTCTTCTCTGCGTTTATTGGAATAAATCAAACTAGCCTCGCCAAAATAATCACCATCACGAAGATGACAAATCTTTAACAAATATCTCATTGCAAACAAAATTTAAATTCTTTTTTTCGGTGTAAATATTTTCATGTATGTACTTCTTTTCCGGAAAATGTGATCAATGCGACAGTTCCACTGGCTATAAAATACATGCAATCACCTTCAGAGTCAGCTTTGTAAATTACATCTTCCTTAAGATATATCACCATTTTCAATGAGTCTATGGGACAAATCAATCTATCATTAAAATTGAAACCTATAACAATTTTCAAAACAATAACATACAGGGTAGACCATTTTAATGTATCCGCTGAAATATCTCAAAATCCAGTTAAAAACAAAAATATTTCAGACAAAAGTTGTTTGGCTTTGAGAAGGACATAAGGGGATATCATTACTTTGACTTTGAATAGTGGCTTGAAGGTCACGTGAAGACCACCTTCAATTTTTTACATGAAACCTTCTATTGTTTATTATACTACCTTATTCTACTAATTAATATGAATAACTTTTGTCTGAAACATTTCTTTATTTGCCTAATACTTTTTGTGTTTGTCGGAGGGAAAAGTAGTACAGGATTTTTTTTACTTGATTTAGTCTCAGAAATATGCTGTTGCAATAGTGTTCCAATTGTTGTAAGTTTTTGTGTATTGTAACAGTCACAAAATTTACATACACAAAAATTTAAAATAGTTGAAACATTATTGCAACAGCATATTTCTGAGACCAAATCAAATAAAAAAGTCCTGTACTACTTTTCCCTCCGACAAACAGTTTTCGAGATATCATAAGCTAAACATTGAAAAAGTTTTAAATTTTCTCTTGAATATCTCAAAAAGCTTTAGGCAAATAAAAAAGTGTTTCAGACAAAAGTTGTTCATGTTAATTAGTAGAATTAGGCAGTATAATAAACAATAGGAGGTTTCATTTAATTGAAGGTAACCTTTACGTGACCTTTAAGCAATTATTCAAGGTCAAATTAATGGTCAAATAACTAATAAACATGAGAGGGGGAAAAAGATGGCGGAGTGAGAGGTAGTGAAGTTAAGAGGCCGGAGAGAAAAGGCGAAGGAAAGGTGGAAGAAAGTGAGTTGGAGAGGAAGAAAGCAAAGGGATGGAAGGAGGACAAGGAGATGCAGTAAGGGAAGTGGAGGAGACGAAAAGGAGAAAAGAAGAGAGAAGATAGAAGGAGGTAAAGGGAATAGGAGGATGAGTCGGCAGATCGGAAAGAGGAAGAAGGACGAGGAGTGGGGAGGAGGTCGATCGGACGGAGCGAGAGATCGATGAGAGAGAGCTGAAAGAAAGAGGAGGGGGAGAAAGAAGGTGTACAGGAGTACAAGTGACAGGCAGAGAAGGTGGCAAGGCACAGGAAGAGAAGACAGAGGAGAAGAGGAAGCGGAAAAAGAAACGGAGACGAGAAAGAGAAGGAGAGGCGGAGGAGGAGAAGAGAGAAGAAGAAGACAGAAGGAAGGAGGAGTAGGAGAGAGAGAAATGGAGCAGGAGGAAAGAGAGGAGGACGAACACAAGGAGCCGAGCGATCGAGTGTTCGAAGTCGAGTGATCGAAGAGAGATTGGCCGAGGAGATCGAGAGATCGATTCGGCGGAAAGATCGAGAGATCGATTCGGTAGGAGAAGGCAGTGAGTAGAGGAGCGCGCGAGAGGGGGCGGAGACGGGAGGAGGGCTACGGGGAAAGGGAAAGTAACAGTGGAAAGCGCGCAAGAGTATGGGCGACGGGACTGAGGAGGCGATAGAAAAGAAAGTAAAGAAAGAAAGGAGAGGAAAAGCAGAAAAGGAAGCACAGAGGAGAGGAGAAAGTGGAGGAAAGAAGGTAGGAAAGGAAGGGCAGAGGGAGGAACAAAAGGGGATAGAAGAGGTAGCGGGGATAACGAGCGGGGCAGAAAGAGAGGTTAGGGCAGGTGGGCGCGAGGAAGGCAACCGGCGTTGGCTACTCGCGCGCACGTAGGTCGAGAACAGGGAATAGGCAGACAATTAGGAGAAGGAAAGGTGAGGGAGGAGAAGATAGTAGGGAGAGAGGAGGAGAGGAGACGAGCGAAGGAGAGGTGAGAGAGGCGGGAGTGGAGAGAGTTGTGAGAACGAGAGGAGAGAAGCGGAAGAAGCGGCGAAGGAGGAAAGGAGGAAAGGCGCAGCGGAGAGTGAGAAAGAGAGAGGAGGCAACAGGAATGGAAAGACGAGTAAAGGAGAGATGAGAGAAGCGGAGACAGGAGAAAGGGAGAGAGGGAAGAAGAGGAAGCGGAGACAATGACCGGGAGAGAGAGAGGAGCGAGTCAGAGGAGAGAGAAGGGAGGAAAGGCGAAGTGGACAGCGAGACGGAAGAAAGAGAGAAGGGAGGCACAGGAGGGAAGAGCAATAGGAGTGGATGACAGGTGGAGACAGGACAGGGAGGAGAGAGCGCAGAAAATCAGAACGGCGATAAGAGACTGGCTAAGGAGAGAGACAGAGGAAGGAGAAAGGAGATGGAAGCGGAAGGAAAGAGGAAGAAAGAGAGAGAAGACGGACGGAAGGATGCGTGGCAGAAGAAAGGGAGGGAGGTTCAGAGGGAGGGCCGAGAGGGAGGGGGGTAAGAGAAGAGGGGGTAAAGGTCGCATACGGTCAGGTCGCGGTAGGAGGGTGGCGAGAGGAGATGTAAAGGGTTCGGGAACGCTCCCTACAAAAGCGCCAATCAAGATCATACACAGATGTGTAAGAGGTTTGGGTACGTTCCTTAAAAACGCCTTGTAATCCCCGAGGGGCAACAATAAACATTCATTCAACTAATAAACACCACCTTATATCCCCTTCGAAACCAAACTACTAACTTATTTTTAGTATAACATATTAGGTATAACATATTAGAAATATAACATATTAGTATAACATCTCAGATAGCACAGGATGTCCTGTGGACGTCCAGTTTAAGTCCAATTTACGTCCGAACGTCCGTGGACATGAAATGGACATTTAACGGACGTCTGTTGTCGTACCTTGAACGGATATCCTTTACGGAACATCTTATGGACATCCAATTTTTGTCCACGTTTGGGCTTTAGTTTTATCATCTTTAGATATATTTATTTTAGCATATTTAGATACATTTGCAAATTTTTATTACGAAAAACGTTTATTAAAAAAACTTTTATTAAACATTTAAAAAACATTCATTTTACGTTTAAAATCCATATGTTAAATAAACGGTTAAAAAATGTTTATTTTATACTTATTTTACATTTATTTCATATTGATTAGTCATTTGCGACATATATGTATATAAAAAATATTTTTTACATGGTTTTTATTTTAGGTTGTTTCACAATTATTTTATATTAATTACTATATTAATATTATAATAAAAAACGTTAATGAATAAAACAGTTTTTACATTTAATAGTTAAATATTCGTTGTACAATAAAACCATAGAAAACAATAAACATGGACAATGTAAAATAAATATTAAATAATATAAATGAAATGTAAAATATAATTTTACAAAGTTATCTCTCTCTCTCTCTCTCTCTCCCCCTCCCTCCTTCACTAAATATCGTGGTTTTCTTGCTCTTTTTCCTTTCCTATTTCTTTGATTATAAATAAAAAATTGTATATTGGCATATAAATTGTACTCGGCTATAAAACATTTGTAAATAAAAAACAACTAAATATTCATAAACGGGAAGTATATGCTTTAACAATTACAAAGATTAACAATAAATAACAATTTAATTTTTTAGATTAATTTTACAAATTAAATTGTTATTTTCTGTTAATTTTTGTAAATCTACCCCGCTGAAAACAACTAAAAATTAAAATGCTGGAAAAAGCGAAAACCTGGAAAAGTCAAGGAAATATACCATACATAGAACTTCATTTTGCTAGACACCACGTTAAAATAATATAAATCAATAAAATAAAACAAAAATAAATAAAATAAGTATAAAAATTAATATAATATGTATAACAGAGATAAATATATAATCTAACTATACAGGGTGAGTCATAACATTTGTACCAAAGCTCGTGAGAAGGTAGAACGGATCGAGATGAACAGAAAAGTCCTGAACCATTTGCATTTTCGCAATAGTTAACGAGTAATAAATTATCGAAAATCGTCGTCTTTGCCCTGCCCACTGTCCAATTCGAGCGCGTGGCGAGATGTGACTGCCCGGCGATCGATATTGCCAGGCGGGTGGGGGGGGGGGGGGCAGCGCGCCGTTGCCGGCGAGCTTACGTCGCCGCTCCCGCGTTTCGCGTCCCCATCCACAATAAGTGCACGGAGGAGCGGAAGGCCGGACTCGGCAGCATGCAAAATGGTGTGTTTGTTGCATAGAACTTATAAACATGGAAGGGGAAACGGATCGGCACAAGTGAAGCCAAGAAGTGAGACAGAAGGAACTAGAATTCTGTCTCGTTCTATGACTTTTCCTCGAAATACGCATGCGCGGCCTAAACGAGATTACAATAACGCATGCGCAACGATTTAACGCATGCGCATAACGGACCAAAGTCATACAGATGTTGGACTTAGTTTCAGCTCACGGAGAGTATATGCTATTCCCCTTCCATGTTTATAAGTTCTATGGTTTGTTGACATCTCTCAAAAATCGATAGCGAACGCGTTCGCCCGCTCACCGCTCCCCGCTCCCCGCTCGCCACCGTCTCTCATCGATCGATGCGTGACTCCACCTCTCGCTATCGATTTTTGAC